GTCATAAGGAAAATAGATTTAACAGCTAAAAGTAAAAGCGGGAGAGATCCAGGCGTGGTGGCGAGCGTGCCTGCACACTCGTCCTCACGCCTGAGTCATGGGTCACCTTCCGTTGGCGTTCACAACAGCTTCTCCAGGGTATTGCACTCTGCCAGCCCTGGTGTTGGGAGGATCTCACCATGGTGGGCGGGAGTCATGTGGCGGTCCACCACTGACAGCGGGGCCCACCATACCATTAGCTCCTTTTATAATAAAAAAAAGTGTCAAATGGGAAAAAAAAGTAGAAACGAGCAGACGCAGACACAGTTTGTGCATGGGATGCTTTGCTTGCGGGCTGAAGCTGACCCCGTTTTTCTCTCCTCCTCGTATCCTATTTCTTTTATCTAGTCCTGGCCTCGCCGATTTTTCGGCCACGTGTGCTCTTACAAAAAGTATAAACGGCTAATTTTTCGGACACGCATTTTAACGCCCGCGGCACTCTGAGGCTTCACGACCTATTTCAAAATGAAAATGTTGTCTCCTTTTTAGAGTAACGAATCGGGTAACATTAGTGACTATTGCTGTTACTCTTAAAGTTATTCTAATCCTGAGGTAACAAAATCGGTGGTTTTCTTACTCCTATTCAGAGTAACTTTCAGGGTTACATTGGTAAGAGTGTGGTGCACCTCAAGCACGTGAGAGATACACACTCCCTCAGAATATGAAGGCTAATTTAAACCAGTGACTCTAATAAACGGGAGTCTGAAATAGTTTGAACCCTCCATCGTCGCTGCTTCAGTGATCATTTCATATCAGACCTGACATCCTGGAAATAGGGAAAAATTTACATGACGCCCCAGACCATAATCGTTGCTTTTGCTTATCCAATGCAGCTCATTCCTGTTGCCTCATATTTTTCAATGAGAAGTTGCTAAGGTAAAAGAAACAGTTTCAACAGTGGCAGCTTCTCATTGAAACTGCTTTTTACACTGATAAACGATTCAGGTCAGAGCAGTGTCAATTGATGAAAGTTTTCTTTAAGAAGTGTGTAAGAGCCTAATAATTCGTGAAAAGCTAAAAAAAATATTTATTGGGAAGAACTTTTTTTCTTCTGAAGGAAAAATATTTTCTTAGTTGCTTGTGAACTCAAACTGAATTCCTATTATGAATTCAGGTAATAACTAAATAAGTTCGGGAAAGGCCAATACATATGCCATTTAACCCATTTCTACTTAGCGTGAGATATAAGTTACGTTTCAAATTTCCCGCCCCTAGTGGATAGGAAGCAGTAGAAATTAAATAGTTGCTACCAATTTTTCATCCTAGGCAACTGTTATTCGTATAATTTTTATTTATACACAATATTGTTATTTTGTAAAAAAAAAAAGCCTATGTTTATACATATTTATTTGGACAATGCAAATGAAGAAACTAACAATAAATCAGGCAGAAATGAGCTAGACACATATTTCCTTCAGTATTTATCAGTCCTTGACTTTGACCCACGTATCAAGCGTCTTACAGATGCCGATATAGGACATGAGACTCAATTAGGCCTCGTATCCATCTATCTCAGAAAATTTTAAATAAAACATGCGCATATTGCCCATCGGATTTTATTGAATCCCTTATTTAAAATCGCTGTCGGTTCTCCTCAACCCAGGCCATGTAAGTGGCGAGTTGAGAGTAGACACCAGGGAATTCAGGTCGAGCACAGCCAACCCCCCACGACACGATTCCGGACACGGTGCCTCCTCCCGCTTCGAACATTGGTCCTCCAGAGTCACCCTAGGGTAATGAATAGGATAAATTAGAAAATGCAAAAAAAAAACACATATGGAAATGTAGAAGAGTTCTGTAAAATGAGAACGAAGCCCAGGAAGGATTGAAGAATGGAGGGAATGATTTAATCACTCAATGAATGGGTTAAAGAATGAAGGAGTGAATAAAATACTTATGCAATAAAAGAAGGAATAAACGCATGGACTGAATTCTAAAAATAAGAATTCCATACGTTAGAAAATATGTTATGACGAGACGAGACAGGGGACTCAAAATTATTAGTCCCAGGCCTCGCGCTGAAGGTCAATGCTCATTCCAATGGAAAACATTTTATATTCAAGTGATGTGGAGCAACATCCAGGAGAAACCGGCAGACAAAAATACAAAACTAAAATGTTATCGTGTAGTTATTCCTCTCTTTCCTCCGCATGAGGAATGGGATATGTAGAACAAGCTTGACAAAGCCAAGTCCATTTATGAGCATCCCTTTTAAACCTTTCGGTACTGAGTAAAACCGTAGCGCTCTCCTTCCGGGCCGGAGTTTTTTGTTCGTGATAGCACGCGGTATGAGTAGAAGTAACAATTAGCTTTCTGTTCTTGTAGTAACTGGAATAATGAACTCCTGTAAGTTTTACTTACCTCAGTAACGCTTTAGCACGTGTTATTCTCGAACAAATACTGTAAGCATTGTCCGGTTCAGTATATCCTGAACGTAACTGTTCCGTTCGGAGTACCGAAAGGGTTAATGTAAAGCCACACCAACTACTCTTCATAACCTAGTTATGAAAAGTAAGGAGTGAAGAGAATAACAAACTCCCAGAATTGTGTGCTCAGGAGATATTGTAGGTCTTGACCACGGAGGTGTGCCTGTAAACTCCTTGCTCTTCAGTGAAATTAAGAATTTTCACACTTGTTTGCAATGTGATGATTTCTGCATGGCATTTATTGTATCCAAAATAAATCTCGTATTTAATTTGGATTTATAATTTTACAAAATTTTCCTCATATTGCATTTCTGCAACATTTTTAGAAATTCTTCTCCTTGACAGAGAAACACAAACATCAAGGAGATTGCATAAGGAGTATCTTTTCTTTTTCTAAGAAAAGAGCCTCGATGAAAGTTGGTGTGGGCAATTCATACCTGGCAGGAATCTTGGCCACCTTGTGGCATGTTGCCAGCGCAGATGTGTGCTTCGGGAACAATGCCTCCGAAGGAGCTGTAGTAATCATCGCAATCTGCGTCACTCACGACGGCGACGTCCACCTTTTGAAGGATATTGACCACGGATCCTCCTTCCGATGTTGATCCCCAACCGGAAACGGTCATCATCGAACCCTCTGAAATCCCCACCAACACATTCATTCAGTGTGCATCACATGCATGGTAAAGAAATTGTATGAACTCTATCCGAAGCCAGGGGAGTGCAGGAGAGAAGGAAAAAAGTGAGAAAAAAAAAGGACTGTGATTGGACAACATGACAGTGCCATCCAAAAATGCCAACCGTTTCATTAACATTTACACGATCGATTTACCATTTTCACGATCTTTACATGATAGATTTTGCTCATGAGGTGTAAATCCATAGTCAATGGTTTTTACTTCCCGAAAACAAGGGAGTAAAATTGCCAACTACTCCCTTCCCTTGAGCAAAACCTTCCACTTATTTTTAGAGCGGAAAGCAAAAAAGGGAGGTTTTTTCCCCGTAATTTCTTAAGAAAAAAAAAAGTTTTTTTCCTTAAAAAAGAGAGTAGATTGCGCTTCTACTCCCACGATTAATGAGTAAAAAATAGCTAACTTTATTTTACTCCTTTTTTGCAAAATCGAAATTTTTTCGTTACTATTTATTTTAAACTGTACGGTACCAGCTTAGGTTTTCCTCTCCTTTTTTATCTTGGCAAAAGCGATTTGGATGTAGCGAACGTCCCACAGTCGCAAAATCTGTATTTAGCCAGTGATATAATAGCAAAGACGTTTCATGTCACTTGTCAGGTACATTTACGAATGCATGAAACACTCGAACCGAGATTTAAAAAAACCAGTTGAGGAGCTAAAATTCCCTATTTTGCAGCGATGTATGATTTGTCCTGTTTAAAATGCTGGTGCTTGTGTCTCTATTCCGTTTATTTTTAGCTTAGAGAAAGGCAGGATTGTGGAATTAGATAATAATTGAAAATGAAAAAATTCCTAAAGGGATGAAGTACAAATGTTACTCCTATAAATGATTGATTTCCCCCATTTCAGCGATGTGCCATAAAAGAAATGAAAGAGTTAGCATGAGTTTCACTCGATGAAATAGCCTTGACAACAAAAAGGATGAAGGTGTCCAAATTTTCAAACCCCATAGTGAAACATATTCGGTTCACTTTTCGTGAAAAATCGAAAGATTGCAACGGTAAAGTAACACCTCCCTATATCCTGTTCCCAGTAGTGATGAAATTGTTACTATTCTAGGAGTGTCAACTTTATCGTTAACCTTCGGCACCGAATATAAATCTAATATATCGGGTATGAGTATACCAGGGAAGTCTTGGCCCTGATCGGGCATCGCTGCAGCATCGATGAAGTTAGTAAAGCTCAAGGCGGATTCCAGGTGGAGAAGACAGATGTCTGCAGTGAGGTCGAACCTGTATCGGAAATCATGAACTGTTAAATAATACTTCGTCCCATGTACAAGTTCTGAGACGCATCCGAATTTCCTGTAATCCACTGACCCATCGTAATCTTCATGGGGGACCATTCTCGCCACGTCAACCTCAACCTCATTCCCACTCGTCTGGGATCGATCGTGTTCTCCTGCAATGACCTATACGATAAAGAAATATTATTTTTCTCAGTATTAACCCGTTCAGACCTGGCGTCCATTCCAATGGACATTGCATTTACATTGTGTCTATGGCAGCTTCTTAGGACTCTCGTGACTTTGCGCAAAATTTTACGCTACAATGGGCGCAATTATGCATGTCTCAGTTCCATCAGAGGCCTTCTTTCGCCAATTAGTTTTGTAATCTTCAGTTTTTTTTAATTAAATGTATAATATATAGTATGATATAGTAAATTTATACAAAGCACGAACATTTCAATTGCGATCACGAAAGAGCTCAAAAATGCAAAAAAGGATATTATTCCGATAGTGGCCTTCATTCAGGTCTGAAAGGGTTAAGAATCGTCTCATTGTTTTTCTTCCTTTCCTTCTTTCAGAACGTGATGCTTAAAAGCGCTTTTAATTTTGCTTTAAAAAAGAAAATTTTCTGGTCATTACATAATTGTGTGCTTTCAATTCCTGCTTTTGGGTGACTCTTGAGAATCTGAAGTTTGCTTTTTCGCTTTTTATTATTTATTTTGAAAAATTTCATGCTCGCTCTTTTACGTATAAGATTCAATCCAATGTAAGCGGCATATGAAAACCTTCTTCAGTTTTTTTTAAGCTGTCACTGGAGCACGTAGCAGATCAAAGAAAGACAATGGGAAAATATACTGATATAATGCTTAATTTTGGATGGAATAATGATGTCGGATGAAGGTGATGCATACGGTGAAGGAGGAGACAGCATCGCAGCAATGGGCTGCGGTGATGACGTTCATCTCATCGAGGATAAATCCTCCGCAAACGTGGCTGCCAAAGTACTCCAGTGAGACCTGCCAAGGGATTTCTCCCTCCTCCGCTGCTTCTCCTCCGACGATCCTCCCGTCCAACATGGGCTTCCTCACCACCCTCCCTATTTGTTTTTTTTTCAGATTGTATTTTATCCATTTACATCAAAACTTTAATAGAAATGATGAACTAACGGACTAGCATCTTACTTTGATCGGAAGAAGAAGCAAATGAGTATATATAAGAATATAAAATTGCTTTTCATCGCACCTTACCTTCAATGCATACGTACACCCGACGAGTGGATTTGGAAATCCACGTGCCATGCGAAAAATTTTTTGAATAGCTTCCATTTGACAGCTGAGTAACAAGGAATAAATCCCACAATCATCGGGGTTTATTTGATTATTTTTGTGGTGGTATGACTATTTTTTAGGCAATTCCACTCAATCACCTAATGTTTTAGGTAAAATTCTGTCTCTTAAATTCTGTCTGTCTTTGCGGCTCTAAGCAAATTCTGGAGTTTTCTTCTCCAGAATTTGCTTAGAGCCGCAAAGTCCGGATAAATCTTATTTGAGCTTTGCTCGTAGATGATACTCACAAGAACGTTCATCATGTCTTTTTCAATATTCAGGTATGAGTATGGAAACGTTCGCGTGGAAAAGTGAGAAATCCCTGGTAGGATCTCAGGGCTTCTCTATTTTAATATATTATTCTAAGAGTTCATAAGAGAGTTCATAACTCAACATTTTCTCATTAGAGGAATGTACTCTTCAACTCCATGCATTATACTTTTCTTTTAAATTCGATAACCTTATGAGGCTTCACGATGACATGAATATGTTCCCATTTGATTTCTTCCTTACAAAAGCATGAATTGCACGAAAGACTCCGCCCTCCTCTAGGCATTTCATAGTATGATGGCTTTCACAATCTGGTTATGCATAGCGAGTGCCCACACACGGATATTTTCCCAAATCTGCCTTTCCTCCAAAAATACAAAATGAACAAACTTCAAGGTTTGAAAATTAAAAAAATGCCATACCGAAGGAGGAGACGACGAGAAGCGAAGCTACAATGAGCCTGAACATAGTGGCAGTTTCGTGGGGAGACTTGCTCTGCACTTTCCAAGCCGAACTGAGGATGTACGAGATGCCTTCTGCCGCGTTTTTATATCCGATAGGTCGCTTCATCAGATGCCGAATTTCCCATAGACGTGGTGGGAATCCCCGATGCTGAAATTTTCCCGTCTTGCAACATCCACCCTTGGGAAATGCTCGACACCCAGTCGTATTCCTGTCTGGACCAAATTCTCTTCAATTATCTCAGCATTTGGTTGTTTCTCACGGGTCGTCCTCCAAACAAAAAACAGCAGCAGCTCTGGGCTATATTTGTCCCCTACTTCACGAGGAAAAATAAACTTAGCCACGTAGTACTCCCAACTTCATTTAAACGCGAAATGAATTAGTGAGTTAAGAGACATTTAACCTCGCAATGTCATTCTGTCATTTGATCAGAAACATTAATTCATTTCGTCTCGAATCACTTTTGTTCTGAAACTCCTCTGGCGATGAAATTCTCATTGTTATAAAAGTTATATTTCGTATTTCAGTAGCAGATGATACGAGGACCTATCAAAAAGTTCCAGGACCGAATCTCATTATTCTAAGTGATAATAGCACAGGGAATGTAGCAGCGAGTATGGGATGGGTATAGGGATGGATATAGTATAGAATGAGTATAGCATGGAAGCGAGCTTCACATCTTGGGCGAGAAACGGCGTTGCCTTTGCGACCTTTGTTTTCCAAGTAGCAAATCTGTCGCAGAAGCCTGGCAGTTGTTAACGGCAGCCTATGGAGAAGATGCCTCGATCGAATCTCGTGTGCGAATGGCACAAACGATTTCGCGATGGCAGCGAATCAATTGAAGGTGACGAGCGGAGTGACCGGTCACCCACGAGCCGAAATGAGGGCACTCACAGCGCTCTTGCCGAACTCGTCTGCAGTGACCGTCGTCGATTCAGCATTACCATGGCTGCGAGGCTGGAAATCTCGTTTGGATCCTGTCAAACGTTGCGAACCGAATATTTGAACGTGCATTGCATAGCCGCACGATTTGTTCAGAAAACTCTGACCGACGATCGAAAACAGCATCACCTTGACACTTGACCTAAAACGAACTGCTGATGGGGATCCAACATTCTTGCAACGAATCATCTCTGGGGATGAGACGTGGGTGTACCTGTTCGACGACAAACGTTGGGAGAAGTGTGTCTTCAAGTGAAGGCGATCAAGCGGAAACCTAAATTTGATGGGTAGCAATACAATGTGCAGTTCCGAAGCTTTTTGACGGATGTATGAATTCCCATCCCTAAGCTGTGGATTTCCCTTTTGATACGGGAGATTCGGATCAAAAGTCCGATCGATGATCCATTACATGTCTGAGAAGGATTGGTACCGAATCATCGAAACTTGTGTCAACGAATGGGCATTTTGTCGAAAGACAGTTCAGCGGACGCGACCATACATCGAAGGATTCATTCATAGAAGTGTCTGGAGATCGAAAGGATCAGGTCACCGAAGGCTTACAAAGCCGAAAAAATGCAGGCTTTATTTTCTTCGTTTTGGCCGTCTTGATTGATTGATGATTGCGTAGTCAATTTTGCCATGGCTACGTTCTTGTTACATCCCGATGTGCGCTGCGCATTTGAATCATGTTAGAAGCGATCAAGTCTCCACAAGGATAGGATAAGTACTAGTATGTGCAGTGGCGTAACTAGGTAATTTGCCGCCCGGGGCGAGTGACTGTTACTGCCGCCCTCATGCTCTAGCCCCCCCCCTTGCTAATTGTTATTTTCACGTGCACGCACTTTTTCTGGAGAATGAGACTTATTAAATATTTCTGTTTTTCAGGACTGATTCTCAGCACAAATAATGTAATCAAAATCAATTCTTACAAACAAACGACTGCAATCAAAATTCAGCCCTTCTTGATTTACTGGCTACAAAATCTTTAATAACTTCGCTGAAATCGTATGCTGAAGGGAAATATGCTGAAGTGACTCGTGACTGCCGTCTCTCAGCATATGTCGCCAGCAGAGTGGTTTAGACGTCTAACATCAGTCATAACTCGCTCGCGAAGGAAATGAATATAGCCCCAGCACTACTAACCGACCTACCAGCATGCGTCATACCGGATATATATCAATAGTAAAATTGTATTTCTTTTATTACCCCAGAAATCCTGTTTGCGTCAGTTTTGCCACCCTTGGAACTGAGGGCGGCAAACGGGAAAAAATCACAAAATCGCAAAATGGGCATTTTGCCAGTGGGCGACAAAATGAAAAAAATTTCCGAAATTTTGCTTCTTTGAAATATAACTTTTTTTGAAAGGCTACTTTGCCGCCCTCTGAACTGTGGCGCCCGGGGCGACCGCCCCACTTGCCCTCCCTAATTACGCCACTGAGTATGTGATACATACCTTTCTGGAGGAACAAGGTGAGGCATTGAAAAATCATTGATAAATTATGAACATGGATTTCGATTTTTGCGTTAACCCAATAATACTACGCATGTAAGGTATATGGGTCCGAGCTGCATCCAACTTTTTATTTTCGTGAAGTCGTCGTTCGCTACTTGTCAGGCGTAAAACGCTGTACTTGTACTTGTAAGACGTTGAGCAGGAGCTTCAAACTCTAAGAGTCTCTAAAGGCTATCAAGCTATAAAGTGAACCTGTGATATTGATATTCTTCGGGGGCGAGTTACTCAGAGGCGCTTCGCAGAATAAAAATACTGTAAGTACACGGGGCCTGGTTGCCGACTTATGGCTGTGATACAGATGGACCAAAGTCTTTGGTCCAAAGATATGGTAAAGTCCCCTTCTACAGAGTACTTACGGCACGGTCCATCCGGGCCCATCCTAAAATGTATTTTTTGAGAAGGATTTCCTCCGAAGTTGGCGATGAAAGCCATGATTCCAAAATTGCTAATTTCCCCAACATTTTGATGTTTTTGAAAATCAGTTTTCATCGAAAAGTTTTTGCTTCGGCGAAATATAATTTCGGCAAATTTATTCGATATTTGGAGTTTCGTCCATTTGATGAATCAAGTTTTCAGCGATGAGACTTTCGATGAATCGGTGTTCGATACTTATAAACGCTCCCGTCTGAAAAATCTTCGTATTTTCATACAAATGTTCCCGAGGCAACACGGATCTCCTCCCGTGTTTCCTTCCACTTCCCCGAAATCGGTGGGGAAGGGAGGCTGGATGAAAAATAGGTGTCATTCAAGCCCACGGGCCCCCGTTGCAATTTAAGCACACATATGTCCAAAAGTTTACAGAAGCAGATGCGCAACCAAGATCTACAGAGAAAATGGGTTCCATTCCTTCCCCCTTTGAGGAGTTTGTCTCGAGAAGAGAACTCTTTCCCTCTCCTCGCAATTCCGCATACCCAAAATGTAATAATCCTTGAAGACATGCATACTGCGTTCCTTTCTTCCGACTGAACACTGATGTGATGCTACTAATAAATTACAGTATTTACACTCTTTCTTTTAAGAGGCAAGGGTATCCCGACCTCGTTACTCCTACACCCATAAATATAAAGCTCAATTCGCAATTCAAAGTAACTAATTTTTGTGGCAAGCAATCCTACCCTACTTGCAATGCATCTGCGAGCCTGCTATTTTATGGCTTCTGAAATTGAGTA